TGTAATAATTTACTTTTGCTTTGTATTTTTTACAACTTAAATTTAGAAAAGGTTTATATAAACATTAACATTTTAAAATATGAAGGCATTCCTAATACTATTTGACAAATATTAGGTAAATATTAGGTGAATATTTCTGTTGAAATTAAATTTTATTTAGTTTCAATGTTTTTTTTAAAAAAAAAATAATGAATATAAAAGGAAAGATAAAGAACAAGGTAACAATAAAAAATATGTGTTTATGTAGGTTGTGTATCGATATGTATGTAATTACTATCTTTTTAAAAATAAAAACTATATCGTACTTTATATAATAATATTATATAATAAAGAAATTTTTTTATTCCAAAGGATCTCTTTTTTTAAATCCATTATGTAAAGTTTACCTGTCACATGAATAAACATAGATCAAATATTTTAGTAAAAGTCCGATATGTTTAACATAATCATTAGCTAAGTATGACTAACAGAATTCATATAAATATCAAACAAGTAAAAAGTTGGCATATGGTACTTGTTAAACCACGTGAGATACAACCAATTCATTTCGCCACATTCGATCCTGATAGGAACAGCAAAAAAAATGTTTTTTTTTTCTTTTTCTGTTTTTATAACAATGAAATAACATAAAAACACCACATAATTGGTTTCATAAGACTTAATATTTGTGCTATAAATACTCAATGGAGAGTCATTCCGAGTTATATGAAAATCATAAATAGCATTGTCTCATATGTGCTAAAAATAGGATGCAGGAACAAGCAAGAAAAATAACAGGATGATATGGTCCAAATAATTTAAATTTGTGTCCTTTTTAAGGAACTTTGATATACATTTATTATTGTCCCACTTAGCATGATCAACCAAGTGGTTACAAAAGTTGGTAAAAGTAAAAAGGGCGCCAAAAAAAACTCTATTTTTTTTGAGATTGAGAGCACATGGTACAATATTTACATACACATAAATAATATTAAAATAATATTTCATTTTAATTGTTCATTATTACTTGTTAATACATTTATGGAAGGTACATGGGAACCATTCAGAAAATATTTGATGAGGAAAAAGGCTTTTCTGAATGATAAATATTAAAGCCACTTGAACTTTCAGTGCCATCTCATGTTTTTGAAATTTTTCCAGAACTCGGTTGATCTTAGCTGCAGGGGATAGATAGTCAACCGAAATGAGTGGGTGAGGAAAAAACGGAGATAACGTTAGAGATACAAGTGATCCAATTAATTTCCTCTAAAACACCAAGGAAGGTAATAAACAAATAAATAAAAAGATAGTTTGTCGGTCGCTTTAAATAATTAGGATAAATTTAAGGCAATTTTTAAAAAAAAGTGTTTTACACTTGTTGAACATTTTCAGTATTACTACGAACATCATTTTCTAATGGTAACCAATCAATTCAAAGTGAAACCCAAACAAAAAAAAAAAAAAATCTGATGTTTGTGTGGTGTGAGATGTTTTAGATAAAAAATTAAATTCAATCTTTTTTATGAAAGGAAAAAAAAAAAATTACCTGAAATCGCTTGTTGAATTTTGAATTTCAAAGTTTTTGTGGCGGTGTTGCAAGCATCAAACTTATTAAGTGATAGTTAAATGATTTTTGGAAATTATGTCTCCAAACGATTATTGGATAAAAATTTGAGGCGAGGTTCGTAAAAACTCGTTTACAATGCAGTGATACCTTAAATAACCAACAACACGCGATCACCAATACAAATAAGGAATCTAAAATCAGTCTTAAAATGGAGGTTACTTGAATTTTACCCGCCAACACAATAGAGGGTAACACGAACGACTAGTTTTTTTTATTGCTGGTATGTTTTTGGACATTGTTTGTGGCCAATGTGGCGATTACATTTAGTTCAAGTTTTTTAGTTCATATAATATATGATAAGAATGATTGATAAATTACAAGTTTTTACTTTGAAAAAATTTTTTTTTAAAAGAAATAATTAATTCCGGTTTTCTGATGTATTTATCCTAAAAGTAATAAAAAAAAAAAAATTTTTTTTTGTTTTGTTTATACTACGCCAATCACCCAAATTGGCGTTCAAATCTTAAATCTTGAACTAATCATTATTTTTTTTGTGTAACGACCTAGCTCCCATCGTATAAATTTGGAAAAGCACCGAGTAATGGGATGCAATTGATTGTTTCGCGTCTTATTTGCTATTTATTATGTTTTGTTCATTTCGCGCGAATAATTCAAAATATTTCCATAAATGTTCAAAGAATGAACATCATCCCTTAATCGATATTTCATTTTTAAATCAATCAAATTTGCGCGATATTTTTTCTAATCGGAGACGGGTTTGATCAAAAATTCTCATTCCCGCTTCATCATTGATTATATGCTACACATCTTCGCGTATTCCAAAATAAAAAAAAGGTTTTAAAATATTTCGCGTTTTAAATTGGCTTAAAAATCTTTTTTTGAATAACATTATCCGTATGCGTTGTCCAAAACATAAAACCTTCTTTTTTCTATTAGATATAGGGACGGTTTATGATACTTATTCGGATGCCTAATTCCGATTGTGTCGCGTCTCCGATAATTTCCCGATAAATAACTATATTAGATTGGGGTTTTTTTACACATGGTTTTTTCAATACAATGTTCATATTCTTATTGAACAAAGAATTCCAAACAAATAAAACTACAAAAAACTTGTTTGAATCTATCCCTGATGATTGATTGGTACAGTTATATCTCCGCCATTGAAAACGTTATAAACATAAAGAAGTAAATAGGAACACACAATTTGTGAAATGATGAGATAAATTATTGATAATTATCACGATAATAAAGAGATCCGATTTCGATTCGTTCGAGGTTAATGATAACATAATATTTTTACAATCATACTAAAAAGGATGCATAAACAGACATATATGTATCTTTTAGTGAAAGAAGTCGTATAAAAAAATATCATCTGATATATCTATCCCATGGATTGAATATATATTTTTTTCCTTGTAAAGAAAAATTAAATAAGGACGAATAAGGAAATAAATAAATGTCTCTTCTTTTTTTTTTTTTAATAAAAACAAATTGATTGAGCAGAATCTTCTCTATTTTCTTCTAAACTTCTTTTTTAACGCGCTTCATGTAACATAAAGGAGTCACTTATGGTATCACTTTTGTGTATTTGATAAAGTCGAATTTACCCGCAGTCGTTCTTATCAATCATCACCCAACATGTATTGAATCTTGTATTTGAAAATCCTTTTTCAGATCATAATTGGAAAATTTTCCACTTCACAGCCACTTTTCATTACCACGCGCATTATTTAAATGCTTACTAACAAGGAAAACAATTGTTTTTTTTAATTAATGCATGTGAATGCCTTTAAATTCCAAAACCTTTAATCAACAAAGAGGATATCATTGATCAAAACAAATTTATCTCAATTTTGTTTTATTTTGTGTTTGAAAAAAAAAGGAAAAGCGAGGAATTTATTATGATCTGCATTCGTTTTTTTTCGACGTAAGTAATAAACGAAATTCATCATATCAAGCCACACAAATAAAGAAAGTCCCTTGTTTAACTTGGTGATCACAAATGCGAGAGAATGGTCACATTTTTAATTAATGGGCCACGGGTGAGCCACAAAATGGACAAGCCTCGACCGAAGATGGGAGATGACAAAAAAGGCAAGGTATAGTTCGTTGGTGTGACTTTCAAAAATAGTTATTCCAAAAAAAGATTGGTATTATTTTATTATTTTATAACGTTTATACATATTTTAGAATAAGTGGTAAAAAGGGTGTAAGCTTGCTTAAATAAAGAAATAGTGAATGGGTAGTTATAAGAATGTCCAACATATATATAAATAAATAACAGAAATATACTGTATATTATATATATATATATATTTTGACAGTATAATGGGATGATTACACAGTACTAACGGGATGTATTTTAAAAAGGTATAATTGAAAGATTTTTTATAAAAAAAATAAAATAAAATAAAATAAATTTTTTTTTCCAAAAAAATAAAAGTTGTAACAGTATTACAGTGTATATATATATATACATTTCTATAAAATAAAATTTATGTATTTTTTCCCTATAAGTATTCAAAAGAACAACTGATCTCCACAAAAACTGTATATATACCTACCTGTCTACCTTTTAATCCTTCCAAAAAGAAATTCAATCGAAAAAATAACGGTTTGATCGTATATTTTAGAACTTGAAATTTTTTCTTTTTTTATTTTATTTTTTTCCAGATATAAAAATAAAAATAACAAACAAATCAATAGCGTTTTACATTTTTTGGCCTGTATGCATTTTAAAATTGTAGTGTGTATTTATATACATTACGTATAGTGCAGAATCGTATATATTTTTAATTCTAACCACTAGATATTTCTCCATACGCGCTTATTCACGCATATTATTCACCAACCATTTTACTTTCCTTTTTATTTATCTTTTTTTTCATCTTAGCTTTTATTCGTATATTATTGCCATTGATAATTCACGTCTTAAGTTTTTTTTTCCCTCGTAATTTTCTTATTTTATCATATTGCATCGTTTCTGTTTGCTATTTTATCATACATACAAATCATTTTAATAGTCTGATAATCGAATTTATATTAATCATATTATTGCATTTTTATATAAATTCGTCAATAATTTTGAAAAAAAAAAAAAATAAATAAATAAACACCGTTTCTTTCTTTCCTTTTTTTTTTTTTTTTTTCTTTTTGCCCACGATAATTTTTTTTTTTTGAAGCCTTTATCATTACGAGAACCATTTTCCTTGAAACCAGAAAAAAAAAAAAAATTTTTTTTTTTACTTTATGTAAGTAGTTCGTTAATAAAAAAACAACCCGTTTCTTTTATTTATTTATTTATTATTTATTTTTCATTCATTCAATCAATCAATCAATCAATCAATCATTCATTCATTCATTCATTCATTCTTTTTCCTTTTTCTTTTTATTTATCCAACAGTAACGATAAAAAAGACTTACGAAAATGAGTTATTCTTCCGTTGTTTGGATCGATGATCCTTTCTTCATAAAACGCCAACGTGTTCAAATGGCTTGTTCCTTCTGTCGTCAACGCAAGATAAGATGTGATGGTAGAAATCCTTGTGCTAATTGTAAAAAATATGCTACAAGTTGTATTTATGTTAAGATTGAAAGACAACCAAGAGGCAACAAACCGTCCAACAGAAATTCTGGAAACGATAATAATGAAAATAATGATAACAGCAACAACGGCGGAAGTGGTAGTAATGCTGGAAACTCTCAATCTTCCTCCCAATCAACAAATTCTCAACAAACTGGAACTTCCACTAGACAGCACTCCTACTCGGGTCATCGAGGAAAACGTCCAATTGAAGAAGTTGAGCATGTATCTCAAAGTTTGCCTCCCTCTCGTCGCTCTACGACTTCTGCTCAAGGAATCCTTACTAACAGTTCAACCATAACTACCTCTCCTCAACGTAAGCATTTTTATCTCACCTGAAATATTTTTTTTTTTTTTTTTTTTTTTTTTTTTTGATATGATTGACCATAATCATCCGGTATTCTGGTATTACGATGATCAGTCCTATTTTAATTAAAAAAAAAAAAAAAAAATAAATAAAAAATTTTTTTTCACTCTTCCATTCCTTTTTATATATATATATATTAAAAAAAAAAAAATTTTGCAGCTGCGTCTTGGCAAACCAATTCCATATCAGTCGCGAAACCAGAACCAAAGCTTCCATCAATTGACACTCCAGCCATGCCAAATAATGACATTCTCGAACATTTATTGGAACTTTATTGGGCCAATGTTCATCCTTATGTACCGGTCCTCAATAAAAACCTCTTCCTTCAGCAACGTGAAAATTCTAATGATCCACCATCTCCCTTACTTCTTAACGCGATGTTCGGCATTTCAGCCGAATTTTCTGAGCGTTCATCCGTGCGCGCTGATCCAGAGACCCTTGAAACAGGTGGATGGGTCTATTTTGACAGGGCTCGTGCTTTGCTTGACGATTTTATGGATGCCCCAAGAATGTCAACGATAGCGGCCCTTATCCTTATGTCAATTTATCAGCAACACAATACCAGACGTTCGGGAATTTCCCCAGGATATTTTCGTCGATGGATGTATATTGGAATGGCCAATCGTATGGCTCTAGAATTGGAGCTCAATAAGGATTGTGAAGATCCTCTACTTGATAACTCTCATAAGGAGTTAAGAAAAAGGTTATGGTGGTCACTATTCATGGTAGACGTTTTGGTATGCTGCGGCATCGGTAAAGCCAGTAACATTGAAGAAGATGAATGTACAATCCCTGAGCCTGCCACCGAAGTCGATGAACCTGAGCTAAAAGTGAATGGCGCCATCAATGAATTTGTTCATCAGATCAAATTCACACGAATGTTGCATTTATTATTGAAGCATAATTTTTCTTCAAAGATCAACTCTACGGCATATATCAATCAGGATAATGTCGTGACAAATTTTGAAGATCAGGTTCATTCTTGGGCTTATCATTTACCCCTTCAACCCACAGATGCGTTAGTTAATAACTCCAACAAATACTCCACAACCAACTTGCACCTACATATGCTATACCATTCCTTCATCATCCTTTTACATAGGAGGTACATTGCAAATTTCGATTCCCTTTTGAAATGTACACAGGCTGCTGCCCAAGTTACTCCCATTGGTGAAAAGATTCTTCGTACAGCTTCCACTCCTTTTAGAGGTTTTCTTAATTGTACGACTTGGTGCCTATTACAGGCTGGAATGATCCATGCCTTGAATAAATTCAGGGGAAATGAAGAAACCAGTCAAATTGCTGAACAACATTATGATAGAATCGTTTCTCTGTTTCAGAGATATTCACAGTTCACCGCTTTACAAGTGTTACAGGATCATGCAAATACCTGCAGTTCACATCGTTTATCGATGATGGACTTTTGGTCAAATCCTGAAAACAATGGACAACAGCATCAACAACCGCATGATTCAATGTTTGTATTGCCCGATTTGGGTGCTGGAAGTAAGGTCGGTAACATAATCTACAATCCTAATCACAACGACAACTACCTCATCACGAGTTCTAATAATCTCCCCTCAATTTTATCTCCACCCATCATTAAATCCTCTCTACCAATTTCCGAATCATCATCATCATCTACTTCCTCCTCTTTATTACCATCGTTTCCTTCCTCTTCACTGCCTTCTATTGATACTCGTACAAAGATAACGACTCATCATAAAAATTATCACTGTAACAATGATCAATTTCAGAATCTGCCCTACGGTACTTTACATATATCACCTGGTACTAATACAGGCGGATTCGAGATCCAACATTTGTCACAAATTTCCACACCATTTCCAAGTCCACCTCATGGAAATGTCTCTCCCATTTGTGGTACTCCTCATGAATCTCCAAATGTTGACCTAGGACATTTCGCAAACATGACATCTCCATTAGTTGATAATGAAGGAACTCCTGTAAATTCACCCCAATACGTTGATTATAATCCTTTCCCCGTGCTTGGAAAAGATCAAGGATCCGGCTGCGCAGAACTTCTTAATAATGACGAAGATAGTTGGCCATTTAATGGTCATACAACCGCTTCAGCTTCAACTGAACATGCTTGGCATCAAAAGTCATATAGTTCCACACCGCAATTAGATAATGACAATTATAGATTATCTTTGACGCCATCTCACCCAGCCACACCTTCCGCTTCACCAGTTGACGTTTTTGGTAAGAACTAATTTTATGATGCCAACCCTTTTGACAAATTTACCTTTATTAAAAATTTTCATCAAATTATTTAGGCATTGCTACACCGACTATACATGCTTCACCAACTACTTCACCTTTCAATTCTCCAATCCAACAGGAAGATAGTGGCATAGATTCAAACACTGTTTCTAGTGATTCTACTCCAAACGTTGACAACACATCTCCACCTGGTGGTTATTCACAATCAACATACAATTCCTCGCCGCAGAGTGTTTCTTCCAGTCGTCATGAAGGTGATTCGTCTTGTGGAACTGGATACTTTGTTGGTGGATTTAATAATAATGGACTAGGAATTTGTTCTAATTAAAAAAGACCTTATAGGAATTGTTTATTTTTTTTTTTTTGGATAAACAAATTCAAATATTTATTGACATCCTCTCGTCTTTTTGACACGTGAAAGTTTTATTAAAACAAAAAAAAAAGATTTTTTTTTCTCCTTGAAATTGCCTTGTATATTTTTCTCCCTTTTTCAACTATTTTTTTTCTTTCTTGTTTTTTTCCTATTCTCAATGTCTTTATTATTTCATAAAGCGTTATTTCAAGGGAAAAATTGTTTTCCTGCTTAAACATTCACAAATAATGAGGACAGAGATGCTATTCATTCATGCATTTTCTTAATTAGGTTTATTTTTCTTGGGATTTAGATTAATTGGGGTCATTATTCGGCATCGAATACGTATATCTTCCCCCTTTTTATATTGCCGAACAAAAAAAAACAAATTTATACTTACATTTCCCTTTTATATTAGAACACCCGTCTTTTTCTTGTACAGCGTTTTTTCTCATAACTAGACTCATCATTTCATTTTCTTTTATGTTCGGTTAATCTTTATTTACGATTGGGCAAATAAGCACGATATGTCGACTTCACCGATTCCGTCACTCGTTAGGGCTTGGTTATGATTTATATCTTTTCTCGCGTTTTATTCGAATAACGACTCTTCAATGAAACGACCAGGCTAATTTTATTTATTTATTTATTTATTTTTTTTTTTTGAAAAAAAAAACTTTACGTGGTAATCGATCCACGAATTTTTCGTCTTCCTTTTTTTAACATCATCGTAATATATAGGTTTCAAAAAAATTTAAGTTTTTATTAAACACAATGACAACTCCCGACAAAGGACAGAAAATCGACCAAAGGATTATATATATATATATATATATATATTTTAAAAAAAAAGAAAAACAACAAAACAAAAAACAAATAAATTCCCCAAAACGCCACCTTTGCAAAGATTTTATTAATTTTTTTTTTTTTTTTTTTTTTTGTTAATGAAGAATTCGGCGAAAGGTGATTAAAAAAAAAAAAAAATTAATAATAATAATATAATTTTTGTATATGTAAATGTAGATAGCTTTATTACTAATGAAAAAAAAAATTATATAATTACAAAAAAAGTCTTTTCGTTGTGTTTTACCTCGTATTTTGTAATCGTAAACTAACAAACAAACTAAGGAATTTATAATAAGCAAACCATTCATAAAAAAAAAAAAAAAAAAACCTATATTAAAAAAAGATAAATTTTTTTTTTTTACATACGTTTATCGTTATCGGACCAATTTAAGCATTTCTTTAATAATTTTTTAATTAAATTTAAAGAACACGGTTCATAGAACTCTAAAATGAAAATTTGACACTAGCCGGGATTTGTTAGTTGCCAAATTAGTTTAGATCAGATGAAGAAATAGTTAATAAAAAACAAATTAAATTAATTACAAACAATGTATGATTTGTTTGTCAATTACTTTGGAGTTGATCCGATATCGCGTGTTTATGATGTACATATATCATTTATAACCTACTACCTATTTCAGACATGAAACCAATCGTATAAAAAATACGAACATAGTTCATTAGGAGTAATTATATTTGTGGCTTAGCCGAGCATGTTGCAAAAAAGAGACATACATTTCGCGAGATAACAAATAAGGTTCGATTGTAATTTATGATTCTTTTTTAAAATTGTTATAAAAAAAAAGGTTTTTTTTTTGGATTCTTTTTTTTTGGATTTTTTTAATGGATTAGTTTCAAATAAAATTTTTCTTGATAATCTAATGTGGGATAGTCACGTGCTCTATCACGTGTAAACCCGTTCCGTGAACTTAAAAAATCATAGAACTTCTACTTGGCATGCTGGCTTTTCTAATTTGGTCAATCAATGATGTAATAAAATGATTCTAGAAATCATTAGATTAATTAGGGTAATTAGGATCAAACCCATAAATAGAAAAGGGAACGTGTTATGATTATCAGAACATAATTCATTTTCTTTTTTTCCGTCCATCATAATAAAAAAAAACAATGGGTTTGGTAGAAGAACTCAAATCTAAAAACTTTACGATCTATGCTCAATGGTGAGTACCGTTGGTTATATTATGTATTCGCGTACAATGTTTTAATAACATACCTATTCTAACAAACCATTTTTTGTTACTCGAACCAAAAGGTTTGGTCTACTCTCCATACTTTGTAAATATATAAATATATATATATTTTTTTTAAACAGAAAATTTTTTTTTTTTTGACTTATTATTTACTATTTTCCCGTATTTTTTTTTTTTTTTTTTAGTGCTTTTCATTGCTGGTTTCCTCCCTTTCTCGTTTTTTTCAATTATAGCATGGTATGATCTTTTATTTAATATTATCTTCTACACTTTTTTTTTACACTCATTCCTTTTGAAATTCCATCATCTAATATCCATTTTTTTTTATTATCCGCATAGGCTTTTGGTCTTTATTCTCATATTTGTGGAAGTACCGTTGTGCATGAAGGTATTTTCACTTTTAAAATATAAAAAAATAAAAAAAAGTTTTAACCATTATGTATTATTATTGTATTAATCATTTTTAAAACAAAAAAATCTGTTCAGATCTGCCCGACAAGCGATAAATTGTAAGTTCCTTTTTTAACATATCTATATTCTCAATTTAATTTTAGTACCTTAATTAATAGTTTCTTTTTCATAAATTTATTAGTGATAAGTTTATCAAAACTTTCGAGAATAACTATGTTAGGACTGCGGGATATTTGATGTAAGTCACCCTTAGCATTGAAGAAAGGTTACTCGTATCGACTTTTTAATCTCTTAAAAAATAATTTTAGATTTTCCACGTTGATATTGATTATAGGCATACTTGAACATTGGGCCTACATCCTGTCTGGTATTACTTTAGCTATTACCGGAATTTGTTATTGTATAGCCGCAATTAAGCATCAAGAACATAAAGCTAGCTCTATCACTGGAGGTACCGGTGTTGGGAGTTTGGTATAAAACAGGAATGAAAGTCAAACAAACCCCCTTTTTCATATGGACATTGAAATTCTTCTTATTTTGCTGTATTTTTAGATGATATTATTTTCAATTCATCTTACCTTTGCTGTATTTTTAGATGATATTATTTTCTATTCATTTTATTGAATGTTGCTTATATTATTATTGCTAATATGTTATTTTAACAAAATTTTATCAAAAGCACGAAAAGCACAAAAAAAAACTTTACTGAATAAATAAATAATCCTTTTTGCGTAAAATTTAAAACTTTTATGAAATGTCAAAAGTTCAATTTAATACATATATATGTCTATCCTCAAAAAGTAGTTCTGATTGATAGATTTTAATCATTTCCTTCTCTATAATAAAATTAATTTTAGCTTGCTTATATAAAAAAATGAAATTCTTTTTTTTAATTATAATAAAAAATTACATTACCTGTCTTTTTCCATTAGTAGAAAAAGCATCACCAATACTAAATGTTTTTAAAGGATCATTTTTGCGTTTCTATTTTACATATTAATTAAAATTAGTTTTTATAATTCGACAATAAGACATAATAATAATTTTTGAAATACCTTATGAGTAGAATTATGATGATTCTGAGTTCGACGACGATTATTTGGTAAATTTTTATGAAATGGAATGTGTCCTAATTTTGAAGAACCTTCTTTATCATCTTGAACAGAATTAACACCAGAGGGTGGTGCAATTTTCGGCATTAGATACGATGGTATATGTTTCATGTGTTGTTGAACTCTAGCAGGATGAATAGTAATATCATGACGTAATATAGTTAAATCATTAGGATTGTCCTCAAAATGTGCCTGAAATAAATTTAGGATTAATTAATTAACCTTCATTTTAATTATTTTATTACAAAATCCTTTGGATCGATTTATCGATTTTTACCTTCAATTTCTCAGAATTTAATATTTCTGATTTAACATCTTTTACTCGTGCTTCTTTAATAGAGACACGGGTCACTGCTCTCAATGCATCTTCAATACGATAACGAAATCCCTCTACTTGATTCATATCAAATGAATAAGGCTTGATTGTAGAATTAGCGAGGGATTGTTTCTTCTCTACGCGTGCATAAATTTCCTCATCGCGTTTTGTTGTTAAACACATAACATTCTTATTCTGTCCAACAAATTCTTTTGGAACAACAAAACTTAAACTCATTCCTCTCTGGTTAGCACGTGCAGTTCGTCCTACTCTATGAATATATGATTTTGCTGAAGTTGGAAAATCAAAATTAATGACTGCCGCCACATTTATGAAATCAACGCCGCGTGATACTCCATATTCTCTATCCTTCTTTCGCGCTCGCAATTTTTTCTTGCCGTTCTTTTCCAATGATACTGATTTTTTGTTTGAATGAGTCATATCTTTTGATTCTGAAACTGCATTATCTGCATTATGGAACTCTTATCAATAAAACAGCGGTCATCAAAAATAATACGAAAATAATTGTAACTACGTACCTCCAAGCTCTTCTCCGTTCAACTCATCTTCAGTATCTTGCTCACTTTTAAAATCTCCCTCATCGGTCGCAATGATATAATCATAAACTCCCTTATTAAATTCCTGCACTATATGATATCTAGATAGTTATAATCAAAATTAAATTAGGTAACTTGTATTTATAATTACGTTGTGCCGAATATATTTCATTACCTAGAATTTAAAGGCAATTCTGAATTCAAAACACAGCTTTTTATTGAGAATTGTTCCAAGAATAATTTTAATCGATAACATCGATCAATATCATTAACAAATATTATGCACTTTCCCTTAATTAAACGAAGTTTTAGGATAACATATATTAAAAGAAACTTGTCTATTTCCGAACATCTACGTGTCAATGAAGAAAAGTTATAAAGACAAATACGAATAATGATAAAAAATTCGAATATTTTAAATTTATATTACCTCACAGCATATTGTGTTAAAAGATTAGTTTCTTCAGTTTCTTCATGCAATGTTAAAATAATCTATAATTAATGTTAACAAAAGATAATTAATTAATGCATTTAAAAACCCTAATGATATAATATAAACAATTCAAATACCGGATTCCGTAATAAAAGTTGCTTTAAGTTTTCAACGTCCTAAGAAGAAATAAAATATATTTAATATAAATAAAATGATTCAAATTGAAACAATACAAAATTTATGTCACCTTTGTCAACGTTGCACTCATCAATAAGCTTTGAAATATTTTTGGAAGAAATGTTAATATTTTTTGAAGATCTTCCTCGTAACCATATGAGAATATAAGGTCTGCTTCATCAATGATAAGTGAATCTAGACTGTTGCGAACGATTAAAGACTGTGATTTTTTTTTTAAGGAAAAAAAGGTAAGGCACAATGGTAAATAGTAAATGTACTACACTCAGTTGTTTAAATCAAGCATACTTGTGACTCGAGATGTGCTAATATACGACTTGGTGTTGCGATAACTATATCCGGTGTTTCTAATAATATTGATCTTTAAAGAACAAAAAAACATATTTATAGATATTATTATAGGATCAATACTCAATGAAATTGTTAATGACTCAATGAAGAAGTAAAGTTACTTTTGTAATTGCATAGGGATGTTACCAGCTAGGTTGGCGGTTTTCACATCCTTTGAACAATATATCAATAATTCATCTAAAAATTTTGTCACTTGAACAGCAAGCTCCCGAGTGGGAACTAAGATGATCGAACGCGTTGCAGCACGTTCTAAAGAAGATTCTGGTAATGCCTGTAATTTATAATTGAATAGTTTTGAGACACCTCTTGCCAATAAGATACGATGAAAGAATGGAATTCAACCCGCCCTGAATATTGTTATAATTCGCCCCGCAGAATTCTATCGGTATTTAAATAATAGAAAAATAGGATATAAGAAAAACTTTGGCTTATGTGATATATCTCACCCTGCGGAAGCGATAACCTTGGGCGGGTAGAAAAGGGAAACTTATTTAAAAACTCACGTCTTTGGCAGCCAAGATCTTTTGAACTATAGGTAGACAATAAGCAGCAGTCTTTCCACTACCAGTACGGGCTCGTGCTAAAATATCTTTCCCAGCTAACGCTAATGGTATCGCTTTCTCCTGTATTAAAGTTGGTTTATGAAAGTTAAGTTTTGATAAGGCACGAGAGAGTCTAGGATCTAAATTTTTGAACTCCATTATGTAGAGAAAAAAGGAAGAAAAAAGGAAGATAAAAAAAAAAAAAACTAATCAGATCGATCACAAGTACACAAGATCACATGATCGATCGATCATACGTGTAGATAATTTTTCAACAATCGTTTTTTTTTTTGTAAAATGAATAAAAATAAAATGGTATAAAATTTTTTTTATAAAGACCTTTAAAATGCCAAAAGACGGAAGGAAATTAAGATCAAGCGTCTTTGTAACAAATAATAAAGCTACGCCTCTAAGTCCAATAGAATCAACTTCAAAATACTTCAGTTCGAAAACAAGTGATACCGAGACAAACGTACCCAGCAATTCACCTAACCCGGTGAAACGTAAAATAGCGCGTAAACATATCAAACATATTGTCATTGAAACGGAAGAGTCTTCAACTGATACAACAAATATATCCAATGCTTTAACATCGAAAAAATTGATAGATAAATTAGAAAAAAGGTTGGACAAGGAACTACCGAAGCCACCTGTCAATTGGGGTGTTGTATACGCGGCAATAAAAGAATTTCGTCAAAACATCATAGCTCCCGTAGATACAATGGGCTGTGAGAGATTGGCTGACGAGCCATCTGATATTATCACACCACAGGTTTTTCATATCTATTAAAGCTGATTTGATTGTATAGTATTACATATATACCCACATATATATAATTAAACAGATTCGATTTTAATTTAGACATCAAGATTTCAGTCTCTTGTAGCTTTGATGCTTTCTTCGCAAACTAAAGATCAGGTTACTGCAGCAGCAATTCAAAATCTTCGTCAAAAACTTCTAGGAGGGTTAAACTTGGATAGCATATTACAAGCCGAAGAGAAATTCTTAGACGAATGTATTTCTAAGGTAGGTTTTCACCGTAAGAAAGCAAAGTAAGTACGAAAGGCTTGTCTCTTAGCCTTTTTTCTCTTTTTTTTTTTTTTTTTTAAAAAAAAAAAAAAAAAAAAAAAAAAAAAAAAATAAATAAATGACGCTTGGGAAATCCAAGAAGTAAATAAATACTAACAAAAAAAAATAATAATATCGACAAAGTAATATACCTTAACGTATCTAAAAGAACTATAATTTCATGAAGGGATGGAGGGTGGTAAGAAGGAATATTTTCGCGCGTATTGTTATTATACAGAGAAAAAAGATATTGTTGTCAAATAAAAAATTTTTGAGGTAGAGTATTTAAAAGGTTACTTTGAAAGAAAAACGGTTCCTTTAGTATGTTCCTGCTTATTAATTGATCCATAAGATAAGTTAGTATT